TTTTCTTCAGTGCTGTTGTAACTTTGAACGGTCACTAAACGAATTCTCAAGGAACTTCTGAGAGACTGCAGATCCCCTGTCTGTTTCATCTCCGGTTGGTTTCTGTTGTGACACTGCACAACCTTGCAGCTCCACAACCTTGCAGCTCGTCTCTGGGAATCTTGAGGGATGATGTCAACTTCCCAAAGACTCCTTGGAATTGCCAACTCATCCTGATTTTATCTCCCACAGTCAGGAATTGCCCCAGGCTAGAAAAAAAAAACATATTATTTCCAGCCACAGGATGCTGATTTTAGCACTGGATTGCCAGTACTTTGATAAATACATCCTTTCTTCAGCCTTTGAAAAATTATCAACCAGCATCTTACTCATTATCTACTCATTGCTTTAGAAGATGAGATTGAAGGAAAAAAAAAAAGATTTATCCATTTTAAGGTGTGTCCATCTTTACTGATGTTCCATTTTATTTATTTATTTCTACTTATTTAACGTTAACACAAACCTTCGGTTCAACAATGAGCCCAGCGCTGTGCAAAAGCTAAAATAAAACCATCATTATCATCATCAAAATAAAACCGTTTTTTTTTTTTTAAAAAATCCTGTTCTTTATCTCAGTACGGGTAGTCCTCGACATAACAGCCAAAATTTCTGTTGCTAAGCCAGACAGTTGTCAAGTGTGTTTTGCCCCATTTTACGACATTACTTGCCACAGTGGTTAAGTGAATCATTGCAGTGGTTAAGTTAGCAACACGGTTGTTAAGTGAATCTGGCTTCCCCTACTGATCGCAAAAGGGGATCACGTGATCCCAGGATGCTGCAACCGTCATAACTACAAGTCAGTTGCCAAGCACCTGAATTTGCATCATGGGGATTCTGCAAAGGTCGTAAGTGTGACTGTTGTGATTTATGTCGCTAAACCAATGGTTGTAACTTGAGGACTAGCTGAACTGGAGACTGGGCTTGCTCATGGAAGTTTTGCAGTTGTGACTTGGACAAATTTTAGGACTGTAAAATAATAATTTAAAAAAAAATGTTTCAAAAAAAGGTTTGGGGGAATGTTCCCATACTGTTGCTTAAAAAGCTAGGTGACATTACAGTCACCAGGAAGTGACTTGGCCCAGAATTGGGGGGGGGGGTTGGAACAGAAATGGCTAGATAGTCTCCCCATCCCCCCATCCCCTCCCCCCCGGATCCCTCCCTGCCTCATTAAAGGATCTAGTTAGGAAATAAAGTTCCTAGAATTATGATCTCTTTGAGAATCAGATCTGCGGGGTCCTTGGTCCTCTCTGAGCTGGGTGGTTTCCTTGCAGACATTTCATGACCCAACTAGGGAACATCATCAGTGTTGGAAGGGAATGGGTTGGAAGGAGGAGGAGGAGGAGGAAGAGGAGGAGGAAGAGGAAGAGGAGGAGGAGAGCTCTGGTGCCCTCTGACTTGGTTGTTTTCTTGCAGACGTTTCATGACCCAACTAGGGAACATCATCAGTGTTGGAAAGGGATGGGATGGGAGGAGGAGGAGGGGGGTACTGTAGAGTCCCTGGTGCGCTCTGAGCTTGGTTTACAGACATTTGTTATCTAGTTGGGTTATGAAAAGTCTGCAAGAAAACCTCCCAGCTCAGAGAGTCCCAAGGATCCTCACAGGTGTCTTCCTCCTCCTCCTCCTCTCCATACATTCCACTGGTGATGTTCCCTAGCTGGGTCATGAAACGTCTGCAAGCTCAGAGAGCATCAAAAACCCCATAGTTCAACCTGGAGCTACAAATAAAGCTTTCAAGCTAAATTTTTCAGCCTAAAACATTGGTTCTCAACCTGTGGGTCGGGACCCCATTTGGGGTCGAACGACCATTTCACGGGGGTCGCCAAACAACACAGTCCGCCATTTTTTCCCCCTTTTCCTTAGCTGTGCTACTCCCTTTTATTCTATTGGCTTTTGAAAGCCAATAGGAATTGTCCAGGCCGTCTCTGCCCTGCTGAGCCTGCCAAAAGTCCCATTCTGCAAACGGTGCTGTACCAGTTGAGTAGTCCTCCACTTACGACTGGTTGAGTAGTCCTCGACTTACGACCGGTTGGGGATCGCGGCATTAAAAAGGTTGAGAACCACTGGCCTAAAACAAGAAAGGTCATCTTTTCGAGTTGAGAGATCAAAAGAACGATGGACATAGAGCTAATTTTATGGAGGGTAATGTTTTATTTCAAGACAAGCAGCCTGTTCCATATCCAGGCCAAAGGGGGGGGGGGATCCACAAGGTCACAGACTTCCTGTGCTGTGTCAGTTGCAGATATTTCAACCCCTTATTCTCACTTCTCAGTTCTTCCTTCTGGAAAGAATATTCTGCATAACCTTTTTGTTCAGTTTTATCATGGCTCCATGTGGATGCAAACGTGGCCCTGTTTTGTCTTGCTTGTTGGGAATGCATTTCCTTTTTGGAGAGGAATAATTGTCATCAGATAAAAAACACAGCTAATCCTCGGCTTAAACCAACAATTGAGCACAATTCTGTTGCTAAGTGAGGCCTTTGATAAAGTGAGTTTTGCCCCATTTTACGGCCTTTCTGAGCAAATCCCTGCACTAGCAACAGGGTCGTTAAATGAACCTACAGTTCCCCCTTATCAGAAGGGATAATTTGACAACTCTAGGACACCGCGACCGTCATAAATAAAAAAGCGTGACTAATTTAATAACGGCAGGGATTCATGTAACAATCAAATGGGGCCAAACCTCTTTAACAAATGTCTCACTTAGCAATGTAGACATTGGGGCTCAACAGTGGTCATAAGTTGAGGTCTGCCTGTAGTTGATAGAGAAAAGTTATGCTAAGAGTCTGTGCAGAAAAATGGAAGACACAGCAGGTTCGACACCACTTAATTGACTTCGGGGAACTGGAAGTTTTGTGTCTGTGTCTGTGTGTGTGTGTGTGTGTGTGTTTTATTTGTCACCTCCGTTTTGCAAACAGTTTTATTTTTTTAAGGCTTCCAACTGACTGATATTGTTGGGAGTTGTCCTAACAGCTTTCTTCGCTTCCTCATCAATCTCTGATTCACCCCTTTCGAAGGAAGGAAAGGTGGCTTACAAATTCAACATGGTTCGTTTCTTTTGAGGATGTTGGTTATCCTGGAATTTTGCATCTCTGGGATGCACAGGAAAGTGCCCGTCGTGAGTTTCAAAAGACACCAAACCTTAAAACGTGTAATTTTTTTTATCCCTTTATTGTTTTGATAAATAAGTCAAGGTAGCAGACATGCCTAATATTCCTAGAGTCAAAAAAATATTTCTTGCCCAATGAAAGATAAATTCAACCTTGATGTCTAAATGGAGGGTCAAACTCAACTCTGCATTTAACATATTATGTCCACGCAAATAGTTTGCTTTAAAGCAGGGGTCTTCAAACTTGGCCTTTTTATATGACTTGTGCCTGGCTGAGGGATTCTGGGAGTTGAAGTCCACAAGTCATAAAAGGGCCAAGTTTGAAGACCCCTGGTTTAAAGCATTGGTCCATCCAACATGAGAAGACAAGGATTGAATATTCCCAACACACGGTGTCATAAATGACTAAGCCCTCTTCTCGGCCTCATCTAATGTGTTAGTGGTCCACAAACAGTCCACTTGCAAAGAGGCCATGTCAACTCCAAAGTTAGTTATTAGGACCCTGAAGGAAATCCTTGCCCACAAGGATGGACAGGAGATCCCCCTAAGTTCTCAACCACTTTGTGCTTTTTCAGTAGGCAAGTGGACTTTCTTGTTTTTCCTTGGAAGATGTGTTGCTTCTCATCCAAGAAGCTTCTTCAGCTCTGACTGGAGGGTGGGGAATGGAAGGATTTATACTCCTTGCAGACCGCTGGTCATTGGCCTTCTTTTAGGGAGTCATTGAGGCCACCTAGAGGTTTATCTGTGTCTGAGTGGTGCAAATTGGTGTGGAGAAGTCTTGGAACTGATTGTGTTTATAGACTGAAGATAGATGATATTCCTCTCTCAATAGAGGGGGGGGGGGAGAGATGACATCATCTATATCCAGTCCACAACACAGTCCTTTCAGCAGATCCAACAAAGTTCCACACCCATTTGCACCACTCAGGTGACCCTGAGGACACAAATTGATTTCCAAGTGGTCTCAACGACTCTCTAAAAGAAGGCAAATGACCGACTGTCTGCAAGGAGTATAAATCCTTCCATTCCCCACCATCTGGTTAGAGCCGAAGAAACTTCTTGGAGCCAGATGATGTTGTCAGGCATTCCAAGAAGGCTCCACACCCATTTGCACCCATTAGCTGATCCTGAGGACACAGATAAACCTCCCAGTGGCTTCAGTGACTCTCTAAAACAGTGGTTCTCCACCTGTGGGTCGGGACCCCATTTGGGATCGAACGACCATTTCACAGGGGTCGCCAAACAACGCAGTCCACCATATTTTTCCCCTTAGCTGTGCTAATCCCTTTTATTCTATTGGCTTTTGAAAGCCAATAGAATAGACTTCTTGAATAGAGTCTAATTCTATTGGTTTTCAAAAGCCAATAGGAATTGTCCAGGCTGTCTCTGCCCTGCTGAACCCGCCAAAAGTCCCATTCTGCAAACGGTGCTGCACCAGTTGAGTAGTCCTCGACTTACAACCGGTTGAGTAGTCCTCGACTTACAATTGGCTGAGTAGTCCTCGACTTACGACCGGTTGGGGGTCGCGGCATTAAAAAGGTTGAGAACCACTGCTCTAAAAGAAGGCAAATGACCAGCTGTCTGCAAGGAGTATAAATCCTTCCATTCCCCACCCTCCAGTCAGAGCTGAAGAAGCTTCTGGGATGAGAAGCGAAACGTCTTCCAAAGAAAAACGAGAAAGTCCAGTTGCCTCTTAAAAAAGCACCTTTGGGACCACCATGACCTGGAGGACTGAGTATCTCCATAGAAAACCATCTTGGTTCTTCTTGTGGAGGCCTCGAGCTGAGACAGATGGAGACTTCTTTTGAGGAACTGACTTTTGATTCTGCCCTTCTCTTGTCTCTTGTAGGTCCTTAGCCATCGGTCATCAGTACTCCTCGCTGGGAACTCAGCCCATCCTTTGTGGTAGCATTCCTGGCCTAGTGCCCAAGCAACTTCGTTTCTGCCGGAACTATGTGCAGATCATGCCCAGCGTGGCTGAAGGAGTCAAGATTGGGATTCAGGAGTGCCAGCATCAGTTTCGTGGGAGGAGGTGGAACTGTACCACCGTCAATGACAGTTTGGCCATCTTTGGACCGGTGTTAGATAAAGGTGAGTGTCCAGTTTTGGAGTTAGGTCATCAACCTTTGAAAAGAAGAAGGGATGGGTACAAGAAGGATCTCGGGGTGGGTAGGAAAACGGGTCTTTGTAGAAGATGAAGGATCATCATCTGCAGGGAAGATCGTGGTAGAACATCTGCATTCTTCTTTGGTTCCTGTTGTCATGCGAATTCGTGGAAGGTTTGGGGTGAAGTTGCATGAACTTCTGGAGTGTTCATCAGCATTCTTGTATAATCTGTGAGGTTTCTGGCAAAGGGTGAATCCGGTGAGATCAACAGAGGTCACTTTAGGCAAATCAGGAAAATGGAATTAAGATCTGTGGTCTGGTGAAACCAACAGAGGCCACCTTAGGTATTTCAGGCAAATGGAATTAAGAGCTGTGGTGTGGTGAAATCAAACAAAGCCTTGTCTATCTTCTCCTTCTCTTTCCTCCTCCTTCTCCTCCTCGTCTATATTTTCACTCATTCCTCCTCCTCCTCCTTCTACTGTTCCCTGTTCCTTCTCCTCTTCGTCTATCTTCTCCTTCTCCTATTCCTTTTCTTTCCCCTTCCCCATCTCCTCATTCTACTCTTTCCCTCTCCTCCTCCCCCTTGTCTATCTTCTCCTCCTCCTCCTCTTTCTCCTGTCTTTGTCTATCTTTCCCTCTCCCTCCCCCTCCTTGTCTATCTTCCCCCCTCCTCCTCCATGTCTACCATTCTCCTTTTTGTCTATCTTTGTCTGTCTTTCACCTCCTCCTCCTCCTCCTTCTTCTCCTCCATCTCTATCCTTTCCTTCTCTTTCTCCTCCTCTTCCTCCCCCTATAAACCCCACTTCCTTCTAGCACTGATGATATCATCCAGTTGGGTCATGAAACATCTGCATGAAAAGCAACACGTTCAGAAAGCACCAAGGACCCCACAGTCTTCCTCCTCCTCCTCCTCCTCCTCCTCCTCCTCCTCCTCCTCCTCCTCCTCCTCCTCTTCTTCTTCTTCTTCTTCTTCTTCTTCTTCTTCTTCTTCTTCTTCTTCTTCTTCTTCTTCCTCTTCTTCCCTTCCTCCTCATTTTCCTCCTCGTCGTCTACCATTCTCATCTATCTTCTCCTTCTCCATCTTTTGTTTCTCCTTCTCCTCCTCTCCTTCCTTTCCTCTTCTATCTCTACCTTTTCCTTCTCTTCTCATCTACCTCCTTCTCCTCCTGCTCCTGCTCCTCCTCCATGTCAACTATTCTCCTCTTCTCTATCTTCTCCTTTCCTTCCTATATATCTTCTCTTTCTCCTTCTCCTCCTCCTCGTCTTCTCCCACTTCTCCTCCTCCACGTCTATTCTTCCCTTCTCTTTCTCCTCATCTACCTTCTCCTTCTCCTCCTCTTTTCTCCAAAGTAATCAGCCAAATTGTGTGGCGAAGAGAGGCCTGCTCAGGGGATGGGGGGCGGCAGGGGTGTGTGTGATACTATTTCATAACTGAAGAATGTTGTCCCTGGAGGCAGAATACAGCCCCCACCACCCCTGTTGGTCTCCTTAACCTACAGCAGCAGCCGGCTGGGTTGCAGTTGTGGGGCGGGAGGTGAACAAGGATTAAACATCTCAGCCACATTCTTTAGGGTGCCCTGAGGGAGAAAAAATATATTTCTGCTCAGAAGGAAAAGGCTGGGTTTCAATACTACCAGCCTTCTTTCCCAACTCCCTCATATCCCATCAACCATGGTTCAAAGCTGAACCAAGTAGAGAGTCATCCTCGCGCACCCGGGTCCTACACAATCCCAACGCACAATCCAAACCAAAGAGACATTCCTTTGGATTTCTTCTCTGGTTTCAAGTGAGCGTTGATGTCCTCCAGGAATCTTAGAGCTACTAGCCTTGACTACTGCACTGTGCGCTGTGGAGGGCTGCCCTTGAAAGGCATCCTTCAACTCATTCCGAATGCACTGGTTTTGTGCAAGTCTTGGATGTCCACACAGGTGACCTCTCGGCATCGGTTGACCATTCGCTTCCCAGTTCCATTCAAGGCAGTGATGATTGCCTTCAAAATCCTTCAAAGATTATTTGAAGGACTGTCTTTTCCCAGTTACTTTGCCCCAACTCACCAGAGTAGGGAGGCTGAAGGTGTTATGGGTGTCCTCCCTTAAAGAGGTCCCTCTGGTGAGACCCGGAAGAAGGGCCTTCTCCATGGTGGCTCCCTCCCTATTATTTGAAGGGCTCTAGTTATATCCACCCAACCCATCAGAGCAGGGAGCAGGAGATGCTATAGGTTCTCTTGAGGAGGTCCATCTGGTGGGACCAAGAAGGGTTTTTTCTGTGGTGGCTCCCATATTTTCCCAGTTACATCTACCCAACCCACCAAAGGGGAGAGGCAGGAGCTGTTAAGGGACCTCTTTTAAGGAGGTCTATCTAATGGGACCGAGAAGAAGTGCCTTCTCTGTGGGGGCTCCCTTGTTGTTTCAAGGGCCATCTTTCCCCAGTTACATCTACCTAACCCATCAGAGAGGAGAGTAGGAGATGTTACTGGTCTCCTCTCTTAAGGAGGTCCATCTAGTGGAACTAGGGTCTTCTCCATGGTGGCTCTCTCCCTGTGGAACATTATCCCTGTGGAGATAAGATTGGTCTCCACCTTGAGATCTTTCCTAAAGGCTATGAAGACCTAGTTTGGCCAATAGGCCTGAGGACTCCAGGGTAGTATGGAATCCATCAGGTGACTGTTGATTGTTTTCACCAGGAGTGTGTGCATTTGTTGGGTTTTGTCTTGGTGTTTTATCACTATAAGCTGACCAGAGTCACAAGTGAGTTGTGTGGTCATATAAACCTCCCCTCTCAGTCTGGCTTGGGCAGAAGAGAAGATAGATAGGTTGCAGGGCTACCAACATCTATCCTGATCTTCACCCCACAACCTTGAGTTTCACTAAATGAGAAGCAGGACCGGCCAAACTGGATAAGTAGGGCTATACTCTACCAGTTGGATAGTTGAATGAAATGTTGGGATCCTGAGCATCATAATTAAACAGGGGCTACATGACACAGGAAATGCAACGCTTCTGTGTGGTTAACATTAACCTAGTTAGTCTGGCTTAGCAGTCCAAGCAAATCCAGCCATTCTGATTGGTTCAATGGATTCCTATCATCGTAGAGTTGGAAGACATCCTAAAGGCCATCTATAACCAGAATGATCCAGAAGTCTGGTTATTGCATCATAAGATGGTTTGATGTTAGCTTAGGTTGGGGAGATGATAGTGCTATATAGTTTTATGTGTGATTGTGGCTTCTATGACTTGGTGTGATGTGTGATGCATGTAATTGTGAACACTAACGCCTGAATCTGGATGGTAAAGAGATGTTTCTTTGTGGGCCTCAGGAAAGTGCAAATGAAATAAACTTTTTTTGGGGGGGTTACTTCTTCCTCACAAATATGTTCATACGAAGTGTGATTCTATATGGGTAGTCCTCAACTTACATCCACTCATTTAGTGACCGTTCAAGCGATGGCACTGAAAAAAGGGACTTATGACCGTTTTTCACATTTAATCTCCATGGTTATGTGATCAAAATTCAGACTTTTGGCAAGTGACTCACATTTATGACGATTGCAGTGTCCACTGTCTTTCTGAGAAGCAAAATCAGTGGGGAAGCCAGATTCACTTAACAACCTGCGGCAAGAAAGGTTGTAAAATGGAGCAAAATTCACTTAACAATTGTCTCACTTAGCGACAAATGTTTTGGGCTCAAGTGTGGTCATACCTCAAGGATTTCATGTATTTATTGATAGGATTTCTAAAGAAATCTCAGCCCAGTGACTCTGGTTGGCTGACAATGCCTAAAAATAGAAGAAATAATAATATTAAAATTAAAAAAGCCCTAGTAATTGAAATAACTAATTTAATTACGCACATACATACAAGGGCAATGTTTGTGAGGCTTCCAGCTGACTAAATCGATCTGAACCACAAACACTTTGGCCTGAGGGAAATGCCACATCTTCAAGGCCTTACGGATGGCTAACTTTTGAAATAAATGTAATTGCTTTTAATCAGTTTGGAGGATTTTTTAATTTAGTAGGAGGAGAAGGAAGCAAAGAAAAGGAGCACAGCTTAAAAACATAATAGCTCTGGTCCCATTCTCAACAGGTAATTGCCTCTTGATCATATTGTTTGTGTGTGTGTATGTATGTATATGTGTATGTGTATGAGAAAAGAGAGAATCACTAGGCCACGGGTAAGCCACCTGGGCTCTTTTATGACTGGTGGACTTCAACTCCCAGAATTCCTGAGCCAGCATGGGGGAACTATGGCCCCCCCTCATGACTCGTAGACTTCAACTCCCAGAATTCCCGAGCCAGCATGGCTTAGCATGGAAACCTCTCCCTTTTCCCTCAGCATGGCTGGCTCAGGAATTCTGGGAGTTGAAGTCCATGAATCATAAAGAGCCAAGATGGCCTACCCCTGCATTATAGGAGATTGAGAGTTCTAGTCCTGCCTTGGCTACAAAAGCCAGCTGGGTGACTTTGGGCCAGTCACCAGGAGAGGGTGAATTCTAGTCCTGTCCTGCCTTAGTGATAAGACCAGATGGGTAATTTTGGGCCAATCATGGGGGGGGGGGGTTGTGCAAAAAAAGAGGAGGAGGAGGTGGGAATACTATGTATGCCTGTCACCTTGATTTACTGATAAAGCCTTTGGTGCCATCTTTGCTCTCTGTTTATATTATATTATTAATTATTATATGAATTCCATCAGGGGAAGAATTGAGTTCAATAATATAATAAATAATATATAAACAGAGTTCAACAGTTCAATAATATATAAACAGCCTCACTCCCTTCTAGCACAGATGATGTTACCTAGTTGGGTCATGAAATGTTTGCAAGGAAACCACCCAGCTCGAGAGCACCAAGGACCCCACAGTTCTCCTCCTCCTCTTCCTTCTCCCTCTCCTCTTCCTCCCCACAAGCCCCTTTCTTCTAGCACTGATGATGTTACCTAGTTGGGTCATGAAACATCTGCAAAGTAACAATGACCTCACAAAGCACC